TTGTACATTTAAATCACCGATACCGGATTAGGAAAAATTACGGATATCAGTTGACATAAGAACATAATAAAGTAATTTCTTAAAACTTTGTTTCTGAACATAAACGAAAAAGGTAAAAATAAGATTAGGGACCCTAAAAAACCCTTAAAAAACAAATATTAAGACAGAAATAAAAAATTGAAAAAGGTTGATCAGATCGCTAGTAGGACTCGATATCCCCGCCGACTGGTCACATTCTTTGAGCCCAATATCCTGATCAGGTATAAGGAATATTCATCAGTTAAATTGAGCATGAAAAAGACATAAACATTGATATGAAACCTGTCGGTCAACGACGAAAGTTATTTTATTTTTCGTGAAGTTAAAATCCCATTAAGATGAACTTATTTTCGTAGGTAGCTTATTTTGGTTTAAAAACCTAATTTCCAAAATTCAAGTCAAACTTCAAGGTCAAAAAGGCAAACTTGTTGGTACATGTATCCATAGGGAGATTTTGTCACAAGAAATATACCTGTGAAAAATAAAAGCCCCAGTACTAACAATTCAAAGGTAGTGGACAAGGCTAATTTTTTTTTACAACGTCGGTCAAAGTCTAAGGTCACGATCAAGATGTTTAATATTTTTATACCCATTGAAAGGCCTTGACACAGTACAGTGAATTGTATAAGTCTTGACATCAACTATTCAAAAGATGTATCTCAATTAAATGAAAGCAAATTTTGGTGAATGTCGGTCAAACTCAAAGGTTAAGAGGTCAAATTTGGTGGTACCCGAAGAAAGGTGTTGTCACAAGGAATATACATATGAAGTACATCTGTACCTCAAAAGTCGAGCCCAAGGTTTGAATCTTTACGGACAATTAGATAAACATATAAGCAGACAAAAGACAGATATAAGTACAGACAGACGGACAGGGCAACAATTATATCCATCCGAATCTTCAATAATTGGGTCATAATAATTTCTTAAAAACACATGTCCTATCAATCCTTTGGTAGAGTATAGTGCGTACATAGGAAATAACTCTTAAAACAATAGATCTGAATGAAGCTCAAAAGGTTCAATTATGCAATTTGCAGCAGAGCAAACGCGGACTTCTAAAACATTAGATGTGGGATCAGGTGCTTTTGAGAAGTATCTCTGTAGACCTGGCACACCTACCATATGCTCCTTGCCTTATCCGGCAGACGGAAAAAATCAATTCAGCGTAAAAAAATGACGAGCAAATTGTTTGAAATAAGCTAATTGTCTGTATTTGCTTTATGTTTCAAGGTCATTTATTTTCCATAGAATTTTTAGAAAATGATGACTTTAAACAAGATCGATCATATTATTGTATCAATCTTTTTATTTTTCAATTGATTGCGTTTTAAGAACTATTCATGCGTATACAGCATGCCATTATTGAACAAACAATCTGGGAGACATAAGCTTTATTTATTATTGATAATGGAATATTGCTATAAAGCTGAGGGAATTTTGCGATTGAAAAATAAGTCTTCACTGTCCATTTTAAACATTTTTGTAACATTGACATTTTTTCCGAATAAAAAACGTAAATGTAAAACAAAAGTGTTAGAGTTTGGATGTCTTCATTTTGGATGATATCGAAACTTTTTTTTATAATTCAGAATAGTGTAATTATAGGATATATAAAAAAATTCGAAAAACAAACTGTTGGTATAAAATAGTTTTGTTGAAATCATATCATCAAATTTAGGGTAAGGACAGATTTGAATGGATATTTAAATAAAAATGTAAGAATGTGAAGAATCTATTCCTGTTCAGGATGGAGTCATCTAATATCAAAACATAATTCATTCTAGGGAAAAGGATGGAAACATTAGTGATAAAGCTAATGAAAAAATAGAAAAATCCAAGAAAACACTTAAACATGAAAATCAGTAGAACTTAGAGATTACTTCGTTGTATATATTAAATATATTGAGAAAACAAGCAGTATTCAAACTTAATTTAACAATATAAAATTGAAGCAAAGCAAACACTAACCCCCTAAACACTAGAGGTGGGATCAGGTGCCATGGAGAAGTGAGCATCCTCTGCAAAACGAATATATCTGCCATGTCCCCTTTTCCATGATCGGAAAATAACGGAAAATACGTAGACAATTTAGTGTGTTTATAATGGCCTAATAATTAGTATGAAAAACGCCGATTGGCATTTGACTTAATGATAAATATTGTATTTGATAACAAGATCATTGTATTGACCATAGAGCTACTGAAATGATGACCTAAAAACAAAACTGCTGATATTCTTGTTTCATTGCAATTTATTTTTCAATAATTTATCTCGTTTTAAAGAGCTGTACTACGTAGAGCATGCTCTTGCGTATTTTAAAAGTAACAGTGAGATACATGTATAAGCTCCATATGCAAACGATTGGGGCATATCGCTGCATAAGTCTCAAATAAATATTTTAAAAAGTTGACGATTGAAAAGTTAAAGTCATCACGTTCATCATAAAGATACGAGGGCCGTTCAAAAATTACGCGGACTGTGCTATTATTTACTCTTATAGACGTCATATAGTTATGAAATTTCACAGAAATATGTATCTTAAAGATTTCAATAAATTTTGGGCAAAATTTCTGTATTTTAGAAAAATTCTACTAAAATTATAGGTATGTAGATATCGCTGATGGAGAGGTACGGAGCACTACCAAAAAATTTTAAGCAAAAGCATGCGGAACCCAAAATTTAACTCTTTAATTTCCTATAATTCGCGATATTTTTCGACAATTTTCTCAAATGTATCTTTAAATTGTTCTATTATTATGTATGTAGATTTCTGACATAATATTTGAAGTACTAACAGAAATATAGTAAGTTTTCTCCGATGCGATTTCCGTGAAAACGACTTTGAAAATGACGTCTCCTGAATTGACGGCGCACCACACTTTTGTTAAATTATGTGTAATGCTCGAGATGTCGTCTAAATAGATCCAAAGTATACATAATAAAACATGTAGTACACAAGGGTATTCGTGACATTCGTCCACAAATGGCTTATTGAAATTTTAGACCGTTAGACCTCTGTAAAAAGGCTATACGGGAGGACGGGAAGAAGATTATCAACGAAAACTTTATCTGGACTGTAAAGAACGTGATTGAGAGTGATTAATGTCGCGCTATATCTCATAAATACCTGCAATTTTTGGTTTTAAAACAAATAAGATGAATATTCTTTACTTGTTTAAAAGATTTTAAGCTTGACAAAAAATGGTGTTTGGATGTTGAGTAGATAAGGTAACTCATACTGTACAGGTACTTTTGGGAAAATGTTGAGAAAATGAAAGCTGAATCACATATATTTCATAATGCCTGTGACGTCGAATATTTTGCTGCTCCGTGACTTAATGATATGTCCTGAAAAAAACACTCAAAATTGATACCACTTTACAACATTTTGATATGAAATTTTGAAGACCATATCAGTAAAGATTCTTTTATATTATGTGAGACATTTTGCCCGATTATCTCGTCAAATATTTTTTCTGTGCAAAAAGTCTGCGAAATTTTTGAACGGCCCTCGTATATCTATTGGTGTAACAGAAAACGCTGATTGTAAAAAGGCAGTTTCAAATAAAATGCTAAAATTAAACATGAGGAGCTATGAACATTTATTGATCTAAGAAATCAGATATAATATTATTATTTTAAAGATTTTACCCGAATGAAAAAACCCTGTACTAATTGATCATATGATCAAATCCAATAAAGTCCTTCGATTTGAGTACGTATCAACCTGATATAAATTAAAATGATACTTTGTTCATATTTACATTTTATTTTTAATATTTGGGCACTTTTCATTTAATTCTAAAATGCAAAGCATACCAACAAAAACAATAACAAAGTATTAATTTCCAAAGTAATGGTCAGAAAATTTTAAAATCATATTCTTCTAATGCTTAATGTTAACAGTTTGAGAAAAAGAGTACTTCTGCTTAAATGATGGCAAACAGGGAACTGCTGCAGACATTTCCATTTGTCTTTATCGCTGGACTTATTGTATCGGTTAGTATTACGAAAGTATTTTAAAAAATCAGTTAGTTTATAAGTTAGTTAGATATCAGTTAGTTTATAAGAGTATAATTTGATATCATGTGTAAGAGGAAATCAGTGCTTTGTCAATTGTTTTTCTCATAATCGAGGTCCAAAATGTTTGGTATTTAAGAGGAATTACTGTCCAAATTTTAGACATGTTAAATTTTTCATATTAACAAAAATAGGTATAAAAAAAAATTCAGTTGACATAAATTAGAGTCATTTCAATGTATAGACTAGTTTTCATGTTTTAACACACAAATAAATGCTGAGACTAACCACACTGTCATACACAGGAAAGCAAAACGAATCCTATTGATCGAATTTTTTTCTTTAACACTTAAATATGCAATTTCCATTCCTGATTTTTAAAAATAACAAACATAAATGAAAATTCTATTAGCTTTTACTCTATGGAAGAAATGGGCAAATAGCTATAAGTCGCTTTAAGCTTAAACAGTATCAAAAGAAGACTTTTGTGCTGTATTTTTTATATACACAATATTTTTTTTCGGTTGATATTTAGGTTTACATAACGTGCAAGTGTGTTTTGGATTGTTTTCATTGGCAAAATATGATATTCTTATATAGTTGAATTTTAAAGATTTCAGAAAAATAAACCAATATGACTAATTCCTATTTTTAAGTTATTTACAAGGGGGGATATTAAGAGTAGTGTGACACGTCTGAAATAACTCAGAGTGAAAATGCACTCATACTTGTAGTTCAAGAAGATTAGACCTCGTTTAAGGTTTCTTAACCCTCGTTTAATGTTTCATAAAGGTTATATACTATTATTTGATACTTTAAATAATTACCGAGTTTTAAAATATGCAGGTTCAATAATTTTCAGTTTGTCACAACTTCATTAATCTGCAAAAGCCTTGATTTGAAGAATGATCACGAAAATCGATGCTCCGTGCATAACGAAGTGATGGCTCTGGTCATCTACCTTATACTGATTGCGACCATTTTCCTCTTCCTTGTTATATTTTTTCTTTGCAACTGGTGGATTGTCATACAAAGCTCACAAAGGAATCAGAAAAAAGAAATCGGAATTTTAATCGTATGTGTCTTAAATCATATATTTTGTAAGGTGGATTTTTGAAACCTTCCTTGACTTCTGTCATAACTATTTTTCTTAACGTCATATCATGCATATTATATTTTTTGTAAATTTTTTAAAGAAAGTTTTCTTCGATTATTTGAATTCAAATTTCCAAATAACAAGATATCTATAATATTTGGATGGCGTAACTTTGTATTACAAATCAAGCTGATTTGTATTCACGAGTTCAATACACAACGTGCTGAATCAAAAACCTTTATTTTTATACACAAGCGTCTAACTGACTATGACAACAACAATTCGTACATAAAATATTCTTTTATGACATCTCCCCCTTTTTAAAGAAATCAGTGTTGTAATTTAAACATAGGAAATAAGACTTTATAGCAAAAAAAATTAACTTGACTAGATTGTACAAAACTAGATTAAGAAACTTGGCAAGTTATTGCTTTGGACAGATCAAGTTTTGAATGTGCATTTAAAACGTACAATTATCAAGTTAATTAACTCTTCAAACAAAAATGATATTTCAACATAACACAAGACATTCCAAATAATGAAGACAGTCCATATTATGCACAAGTCCATGTCACGAACAAATCCGTATCCAATCTCAACGATTCATTCAAGGGGAATAATGTCATTAAAAGGATTAGGTTTAACAACTGTTTTTTCCGGATCGGATCGCGTAACAGTCGTAGCTAAGGAGTTCCAGATTCAGATGCAATGTTTTCGGTTCATTTGCCTGGTTGGGATTCTCTACTGCTCGGAACGAATTATTGTCAAAGTTCTAAAATAAAGTGTCTGTTATGTCGACTGTTTTCGGACTATGTGATACATGTATACCAATAGGTCTCGTTGATGTAAATTTCACATACCTTCTATTCCGACGATTGTTTCCACGAGGAGTTTCGATGATGCAAGTTCTCTGATCAGGGTCAAAACTCTTGAAAACTCCTGTATCCTTCCACTAATTTTCATTGTCAAGGTTTACAAAGACTCTTTCTCCTTCCTCCAGACTAGGAAGTGGACGTACCGCATTATGCTTGTCAAAGTAGAATCGGTAACGTTCTTTTGTATCCTCAACATGACTGCGGATGGTATTTAGGTCCGGCCATCTTGGATTTAACGTCTTGTCCAAAGTAGGTAAAGTTGTTCTAATTCGCCGTCTCATGATCAATTATGCAGGGCTTACGCCTGTTGCGGTAATTGTCGTTGATCTGTATGCCATGAGTGCTTTGAAAATATCCGGCTGTTTAAGAATGTGTTTCTCAATTTTAACTCCGCTCTCGGCCTCTCCATTCGTTTGGGGATAATGCGGATTCGAGAATAACTGTATGAAGTTATACTCCTTCGCAAATGTCCTGAAGGTTTGCGAGGTAAATTGAGTACCATTATCTGTAAATAGTTTTTCCGGAATGCCCCATCTAGCAAAGATGTTCTTCAATTTGCCAATTACTTAGTCGCTGGTAATACTGGGTAGATAGGCTATTTCCAGATATCGTAAGAAATAATCCATGACAGCTATGTAGTGTTTATCATCAATTTCGAATAAATCTGCAGCTATTCTCTGCCAAGGACACTCAGGTAGGGTTGTTGTTTTTAACGGCTCTTTCCTTTTGGTAGATCTCTGTGCCTGGCAAATTTCACAATTTGCAACTTTGGTGGCTATTTGTTTTGACAGACCAGACCACCATACAGAGGTTGCTGCACGTTCACGGCACTTTGAAATACCATATGTCCATCATGTATAGTTTCCAGAATCTCACTGCGAAGGACTCCTTAAATAACTATTCTGTTACGGAACAACAGAATTCCTTCAAATATGGAAAGTTCACTTCGCGCAGAAAAGTAGTCTCTAGCTCCTTCTGGTACTGAATTGTTGTGATCAGGCCAACCTTGTTTTGTCAAGTTCATAACAAGTCTACGTTCTTTGTTTAGATCTGTCTCCCGCCTTATCTGTTCTAGCTTCTGATCCGACACTGGTTTTGTCTCCAAAACAGAGTTCACATAAATGGTAATTTCTTCAACAGTGTTGTCTGTATCTGAATGCTTAGAAGGACTTCTGGACAATGTGTCTGGGAATACATTGAATCTGCGTAAACGCATAAGTAGACGCTGACATCATACGGGTGTTCTAAGATCAGTAAGCAGTTTGAAACTGTCAAGTCTGACTAAGTATCTGGAGAACTTCTCACATGCCCAAACTCCAGCAAGGCATTCTTTTTCGATTTGCGCGTATTTAGTTTCAGTGTTTATCACTGTGCGAGAACAATAAGCAATCGCTTTCAGATCAGTGCCTTCCTGCTGAAATATTGCTCCCCCGATTCCATAGCTACTTGCAACTGCACTCACAACTACGGGCTTTTTGGCGTAATAGAAAGTCAAGATTGGGGTTTCCGTGAGCATTTCATTTATGCTATCAAATGCCTTTTGTTGCGAGGGTCCCCACACCCACACAACATCTGACTTAAGGAGGTCCGTAATAGGTTTCATGATAGTCGACAGGTCCGGCAGGAACCGTCCAAGATAGTTGATAATTCCAATGATCCTGCCCAGTTCATTCACATTAGTTGGCGCATCCAACTCTTTGATTGCTCTGACTCTATTCGGGTTAGGACTAATGCCTTTCTCTTGAAAAATCTCGGGTGCAGATGTTTTACCAAATGGAACTCTCTTGAAACAAATCCTGCCCAGTAGGGTTATGTATGTAGTAAGCTTCCAGCTGTCTTCATGCAATGGCACTTGATAAAATCCACTAGAAGCGTCAAGTTTGGAAACGTATTTTGCTCCAACAAGTTTTGGTGAAACATCGTCCAAGTTAGGAATCATAAAATTCTCTCGTTTAACGGCTTCATTCACTTTCTTCAAATCCACACAAATACGGATTTTCCAATTCATTTTCACAACAGGTACCATGGGGGCACACCATTCGGTAGGTTCAGTTACTTTTTGTATGATGCCTTCTTCCTCCATTCTTGAAAGGTCTTCTTCTACCTTAGGCAGCAAGGGAAACAGAACATGACGAGCAGTGCTCAAGCAGTATGGTTTTACCTCTTCTTTCAATGTTATTTTCATTGGGGTACATTTGACAAGTCCCCATGAGCCAAACACACTAGCTTCGTCAACGAGGCAAATAAGTTTAAATTTGTTAGCAACACTTAGAGCCAAGTTACTAGTCTGAGGCCCTTCGACCACGTAGATGATAAAGGTGTATTCAATTCCTCTGAACTTCACGGTTGCGACAAACTTCCCTCTACAGTTGAGTTTTCCACCAGGACTCAGCAGTAGCGACTTCACAGGTGTCAGCTGTGGTTGACATAAAATCCTATTGAAAGATACATCTGACATAATGGTGATGTCAGCACCTGTATCAATCTTGAAATTTACTGGGAGGTCACATACTTTCAAGGTCACTGTCCAAGGGTCATCTGTTTGGTCATAGTTTACAGATCCCAAATGAAATGTTTCATCAGGTGTTCCATTGTTTGAGTCATAAACATGTAACACTGTATGTGCTGATTTGGTGTTTTGGTGTGACAACAAACTTCAAAATGGTTCATTTTGTGGCAAGCTTTACAACTTTGACCCATGTCTGGAAATCTTCCCTCGGGTCCATGCTTACGTTTACATCTACCACACTGTTGAACACTTGGTTTCCTGTGACTTTGTGCTTGTTTAGCAATGAAATGTTTAGGTGATGACTCTTTCTGCTTTCCATACCTTTTAATTTCATCCCGACTTTTGAACTGTGTAGTCTGGTCTTGGATTTGCGTTTTTACAATTTCTGTCTGACGTGAATACTGTATAGCCTCTTCTAATGTTAGTGTGCTTTTGAGCTGCAGCTTCTCAGAGACTTCTTTATCTTTTAATCCAATAACAATCTGATCACGTATTTGATCGTTTTTGTCTGTGAAATCACAAAGTTCTGCTAGTTCATATAAAGCTCAAATAAATGCTTCTGAAGAATCACCAGTCCCTTGTTTTCTTTCTCTAAATCGTGCACGTTCGTGTATGACATTTTTCTTCGGGACGAAATATTTATCATATTTCTTCATCACTTTCAAGTACTTTTTCTTGTTTCCTTCATCATCAAACGTAAGCGACTTGAAAATATGCTCTGCTTCTTTCCCCATATATCAAACAGTTTACTTATATATCTTCGTCGTCTTTGTGTTATTTTGTTGCTATTCTATAGCGTTCAAACCCTTGTTTCCAATCCGGCCATTCACTCGGATTACTAAAGTTGAAACCGCAGGTGGGTTAAATTTCGGCTTCTTGCAGCGCAATGGATTGCCTTCACTTCTGACACCATGTAATATTTGGATGGCGTAACTTTGTATTACAAATCAAGCTGAATTGTATTTACGAGTTCAATACACAACGTGCTGTCTGCTGAATCAAAAACGTTTATTTTTATACACAAGCGTCTAACTGACTATGACAACAAACAAGTCGTACATAAATTATTCTAATATGACAATATCTCACTCAAGATCTAAAACTTCGAAAATCGTAATATAGTACAAAAAAATACTTCGCCATCAAGAAAATATTTTGTCCGTTCACGGTCTTTTTATAATTCAATCCAATTGTCTTCAAAATGAAGAAACAATGTAAATTGTATGTAAATTGAGGGATTTTTTCAGGTTTTCCTTGTCAGTACTATAGGTCTTGTTGTGTTCATGACTTATTGCTATATAAGTTTAGACACTGTCCAAGGAGAAAAAGAAGAAATGGTAAATATTTTTTTACCCTATACGTTAAGTCTACATTCCAAAAATATGAATTTATATTTATCACTTCAAATAGAAATTATCTTGAAAATAAATAGCTTGTTTATAAATCTTTTTTTTCGGAAATATGTTGAAGATATGATTTTCTTAAATTATCCACTCCATGTCAGAATTGGAAAACTCTGCACACCGACATGAAATCATCCTTAATTGACAATTTTGTGAGTAATGATATCAGAAGTAAAAATAAAACATCAAACCAATGGAGTATCCTGATAATTGAAGTAAGTATATGTATATAGGGGAGAATAAGTTGTATGAAGACGGCGATGAAAGGCAAAGAACAATCAAGTTCATAAACTGAATCAATATGAGCAGTATAGCCACACCCCCACCCCCTGAAAAGCGGGAGGGTCTACAGTAATCGGGATGTCCGTCCGTCCATCTGTACGTCCGTCTGCCCGTATGTCCGTTACGCTTTGGGGTACCTATCTCTTATTCACAACTCCTCTCATACCCTGCATAAAATTTGATGAGACTTTCATAGAATCTTTATTACATATTGCCATTGTACTTCGGGGGGGGGGGGGGGGGGGAGGGGCACCCACTTTTTTCCAGATTTCATTTTTTTTTTATAGGGATGGTACATTGAAATTTCGGTTGGCTCCCCACTTTTAGTTGCAGTATTGTCAAATAAGGATTATATAAGGGTAATGCAGTGTTTATTTTCCGATCATGACAAGGAGCACATGGCGGGTATGACCAGTCGACAGGGAATGCTCACTCCTCCATGGCACCTAAGCCCACCTCCGATGTTTTAGAGGTCTGTGTTTGCTCTGCTCCTATTTTGTATTGTTTTATGGACTTTGATATTGAATACTGTTCGTTATCTCCATATCTTTCATTAGTACTAAAAGAAGATAGAACAGCCCCCACCTCACCTCCATCCCCCGAAATAGGATTTTCGAGTTTTGGCAATTGTTCTTGTATTTGCTATTCCTTCTGATGTCCAACCCCACTTTCAAAAATGAGGTTACGTCACTGTAAAGCATCACAGTGTCATCATTGTCATGATGCTGCATGTAATTTTTTTCAGTACAAGTGTTGCGGTGTAGATACAGTTTACGGGACTTCTAATAATTTTGACACGACTCCATGGTGTACAACTCATGGTTCCTGTCAGCAGACTAATCCTAGATTCCAATGTTCTGCTGTCTCGGAGTCATTTCGGAGGATCTCCAGCCAACTAATGACGACTGTCATGCCAGAGTCACCCAGAAAACATTTAACGAAAAGGTAAACTATTCAGGTACTTCAAAACCATATCCTCAATTAAAAGATAGAAAATGTTGGATCATCATTTATAACTAAAAAAAAAAAAGAAAAAAATAGCATTCTTATGCCTCCGACATTAACAGGTTTGGAAATACAGTAACTACATTACCCTCTGTCATTCTGTTCCTGTCTTAAGGACACAGGTAGAGTTCTAAAATTGTCTACTGCTATTGTTGAAAGACAGCTGAGTTTTCGATGTCTTATTTTATTGATGCCAAGCAGATTTAGTTTCATTCTGATGTTAATTCCCCCCTTTTTTTTAAATCAAAATCTTAAGCCCGTAGGTTTTGAATAATTCACTGTCTAGTCCGAAAGATAAAAAAAAATATATGATTTGGATAATAGGTTTATTTTACCATATTACTATTTTGTATTTTTTACCCTTGGACTATAGTATATAAAAGTCATTTTCTTATGAAGGAGCCAAGACATTCATATGATATTTCTTATGATATTTCCTTACCCTTTATGATAATAAAAAAATATAAAAGTAACGAACAGTGATAAAGCTCAAAAGTCTATTCTTACAATACAACTCAGGAGCAGAGAAAAGAGAAACTCTAAAACATCAATGTTGAGATCAGGTGCCATGGAGGATTGAAGATCCCCTGCCGACCTGTTTCACCCGCAGTGTGCTCCTTGTCTAGGACGTATTATAGCAGCAAAATCCGTGATCAATTCAGTGCCTTAATATATGTAATCGACTGACAGTTAGTATGAAAATCATCAGTCTGTATTTGACATAATGATAAATTACATTTGCTGTCATTATATCGACTGTTCCATCAACTTCTACGTTAAAACATAATTAAAATCTCTTTGTATCGAATCAATATAGATATCAAATCCGTATGCATGTCATACAGGTACTATGTATATTTCTGTAAGATATATTAAAATTCGAAAAGTTAAGTCTTCATGCATATCGTAAAAATTAATAACCATTAATGTGTTTTCTGGTAAAATATCCAAAAGTGAAACCGTTCCCGGTAGCTTAGTCGGTAGAATGCTCGCGTCGTGATCGGGAGGTCGTGATCTCGAATCTCAGCCTAAGTCTATAAAATTTGGATAGCAACTGTTCCTTCGCCATGCGCTCGGCACTTTATTTGAAGTCATGAAACCTTAAAAACCGAGACCCCGTTTCAGCGGCAGGCGTTAGAAAAATATAGATCCCTCGCTACCCTGAGTGACGAGTAAAGGTCAAAATTTGAAGTCCTTCACCGGCATACGATGACGTCTCCATATGAGTGAAAAATTCTCGAGAGAGACGTTAAACAATATACAATCAATCAATAATCCAAAATTGAAAGGTTTTTTTTTCAAGAGTTTCTATATTATCTTTTATTCCAAGTTCAAGCCTTTTAACCACAAATTAGAATTAGGTGATAATTACTTTTCCTCCGTATGAGAATCCAAGATGGACATGGCGAGATTATACGGGTCCTATAAATGTTCTTGCTCAAAAACAAAACAAAAAAATTGGTTGATTGTTCTTAATCATTTTCATGTATCATTTTTTAAACCTTTAAGATACAAAAAATGTGGTATGTCTAATTTTTTTATATTTTTGTCTAAGTTAGAATTTATTTCTTACTTTTCTGCAAAACAGTCTTTATATGACTCGGAAGCAACAAAATATCTTCCGTTTAATATATAGCATAACTTTTTTTTAAATTTAAAAATGGATTAATGCTTAATGAATTTTTGATCATGAATAATGTTCGTTATTTCCATGTGTTTCATATCATAACTTTTACGTATACATGCATGATTAAAATATACATTCCATTTTATGTAGGGGTGCTTTTTGGCAGTTAAAGAGAAGTTAATTGAAAAAAAAGCGCAACAGAAATTGAAAATAAGGGGGCTTCTTGAGGAGGAAATAAAAGTGTTCCCCATAATGGTAAGTCTGCTGTCTATGAAAATTTGTCGTGAAGAAATTTATGTATGCCAATAACTAATAATTTATCATATTTCGAATAAAGTATCAGACCCATGGCTTTTGAAGCAGAAGTAGACATAATAAGGACTTCTTCAGAATGAAATTCGGGGGGGGGGGGGTGTTAAAATATTGTAGACACATGTAGTTAAAAGGCAATATACTAATTGATTTATCAATTCAATTTCACTCATAAAAATAATTAGAAAGACTGCAATACATGTAAATTATGGTCCCAGCTGGTAAGACTGAGAACTATATCGCCTTCATTCGTAAGGTTCATCAAAATCATTCTTCATTATCAATTCAGAATATGCTTTTTAAGTATAATAAACGATTAGATATTTCACAGTGCTCTGTGTCTCTGCCTCATTATGAAAGATGTGAATAATATTGACACAGACAAAGATACAGAGAATGAGTAGAACATAAGAGGTTTCCTTTCTTCTTCATAATGTTTCACAAATAATATTGAATACATTTTTGTATTTTAGGGAATATGTGTTCTTTTGCAAATTTTTGGTATAATTCGGAGTGCTTGCAAAGTCGGGGAAGAAGATGAAGAAGAGAGCGAGCAAACAAACAGAAGGAATCAAACAGAAGACCCCAATAACACGAATGGCATAATGATTAGCCCTTTGTAACTTTTTATCAAACTTACATACATGTATAAAAGTATTTAACCCTATATCATATTTCGGACTGATTGAAATTTTAATTGATAGATATCACACTTTTCATTTGATATTTTGTTTTTAAAAAATCGCAAATCCAAAAAGGACTTCGAATCAATTTTCTGAATCAATGTCCAATATCAAACAAAGGTTTTATGACTCTGAAAACGTTCATATAAAGGCAGAAATAAGTAAAATGCAGATGTAGTTCAGTTTAATAAGATATTTCAAAATCATAATATATATTGCATAAACCAAACAAGTTTTACGGATCATTAAAAAGGCATGCTTTGTAATGCTCATATGTATTAACCATGCTTAAAAGAAACATTTTAAAAACAACAAGAAAACATTGATGTAACCATCAATTGTCGCCCGTGATATAGATAAAGAAAACAATAGAAATGAGTCTTGTCATCAAACCGCTTAGATACGTGTGAGAAAGGAATGCCTCTAAATGATGGAGACGATAGTCGAGAATAGTTTAAAAACTTATAGTTGGATGAAAATCGAACAAAAATGATACCCAGGTCCCTTTTAAACTTTATCAATTCGTCAAGTACATGTAACTTTGGACTACATTAAATATACATTAAAATCAGAAACATGTATAACCTATTTTTAAAATATATTTCACTTTCAGAATGTAAAACACAGACTGTGTAAAGCACGTTTTTATGCGATAAGTAAAATTAGATGTTCTAAAAAAAAGGACCTGAAAAGGAATGAAAAGCAACTTTATATATTAAATATGAAAAACATCTATATTTTTACAGATCCACTTTATGGAAGTAAATATAGTGTGTGTCTCTTAATTTATGAAGGGAATGAACATTATGATAAAAACCTTTCATTCTGAATAACTCCCACCTCAGTCCCCATACACCAACACTTAAACTTGTATGTATAGAGCAGCCCGGTCTTCCGGACTGCAATAATACGAGGGGGTATCAAAAAGTTCGTAGACTAGCGTCATAAAATTAAAACCGCTTTAAGCACATCAATGAATTTTACAATATCTAGTAAGCATCATCTTTTCTATCTAATGAATAAACCATAAATCATAAATTTTATTTTTAAATAAATTAGTGATGTTTTTGTAAGCAATGGTATGTCCAGGCGGCGCAACCTCGAACAGGACGTTTTTGCGACCTATGTGTAACTGAGAAAAACTCTTTTGATATGGTCATTTGACATCCAAAAATCCCGTTAAAACAGGTATGTGTCTGGACACAATTGTTCCATAAAATACGAAATTTTCACTTCATTCTGGAAGTTCTATGAAATTTTATCGCAAATTTTACATGGAATGTCCAAACAAATGAGGCCTTGAAAATGACGTCAAGAGGGGGGAGGGGCTTCCGTTTTCAACATTCTATAAAGTTTTGCCCCTGAAAAAAACTGGTATAGACCCAAAATATGTTGAAACTGGCTACAGAGAAATAAAATGCATCCAGAGTACTTGTCTTTTAATGTCAAAATAGATTCAGAGAGAAAAGGGATACACAGTTAATGTCGATGTGCAGTCAAGGTGTGAAAAATCAATCACGTCAAAAAATGACGTTGATCATGCGTTGTAGATATAGAACCCCCAAAGGCAAAATATGTCGGCACAATCAAGCGCGGATCTCTCCCAATGTATTGATCCATTTGGAATATTATATTCATTGAAGGCCACTGTTCATGACATTGTAAAGTCATATAAATAAGGCGGGTTTTAGTCCTTACTCGGCTCCAGGGTTTTCTCATCAAGAAAGTGTATGAGGTAGAAGAAGCGGACAATGAAAAAACAATCACGTTATCGGACGTCATTAAAATAAACGACGACAGCGCCGGGTGATCATATATTGTCGTTTTCATTTTATAATAATTTGGAAAATAATGAACGTATCAGGCTAAAATTTTCAAAATTTCTTTATTTTTTGTTGTTTTATGTTCCATATAAATTTTGAAAGCACAGACTACATAGTACTAATTTTATAGCTTCAATCCACGAACTTTTTGATAACCCCTCGTACTATTCTTTATGCCGGAAAAATGCTTGAGGAATAAAAAAGACAATAACCAGATTTTCCCCCTGTTTCTCAAATTTAGGACTGATTCAAATTTGCAATTGAAGTTTGCATTGAATCAAATGGGGACAACTTAGGAAACAATTTAATGAATGGAATATATTGTCTATTACTCTAATTAGCTGTTTAAGGCATTAAAAGATAACGATTTAACAAAAGGTGTTTGGTTAATTTTTCCCGAGGTTTACTATGCATTGTACAGAATTGTATAGAAAGAATTGATCATTGAATAAATGACTTTTTTAATACTAAACAAAATACTGGAAAAAGTATACATGTCTAGCTTTTATGTATTGGATTTACATGTATGTCGAATACAGTTCTGTATTAAAAAATATCTTTTATTTTTTTAAATACAGAATTGTATGAGGCATATATCGTACTTAAAACATTGCTCTTGATTACCTGAGACAACCCAAAAGACAAAGGTGCTGATGACCACTGAAACAATTCTTTCAAGAATGCAGGCTTAAATGAAAAGTACTTAGTACATGTTTATAGGGATTTGGCTACACTGAAGAAGAAGGTTATGGAGATAGCGAACAGTTTTCAATCTCAAAGTCCATACATAAGACAATACAAAAGAAGAGCAGAGCAAACATGGACCTTCGAAACATCAGAGGTGGGATCAGGATTCTTCATATTACACGGATAGAGGCATACTTGCTCATTATAACTTTGTATGTGGCAAGTTTGTTTAATACCAAAAAGCAGTTAGATTTATAAAATATTACTTCATTGTCACTATATAATCAATAGAGCCCAATCTTAACACAAAATCTCTGACCTAGGGGACGTGACCTTCACAATTTTAGAAGAGCCATCCGCGGACATTTTAAGAGGCAGTCCACCGAAAAACCAGGCAGTATTGTATTGATAGGCGGCACATCGAATGTGACGAATATTTGATATTTTATTGAAAACAATATCAATGTAGTCCAAATGGAATAATGTAATCGAAGATTTGTTTGAAAATTACTTATTTAGTAAAATATCCGTTACTTTCGTGTTATTGAGTTCCTCTATATAAACCATTGAATTTAGGCCAGAAACAAAGAACTGTAACTTCCAATACATTTTTAACAAGACTATAATTCACGTTGTACTAAATCTAGAAATATTTCATCTTTCTGTTTCAAAAATAAAATCGGTGGGAAAAACACTTTTGAATTAGTTTTCTGGCAAAATATATAGACGTTTTTATGAAATTTTGCAGTGCAAGAGTTATCTCCCGTGGCATCGGTAAATCTGAAACACACCTAAATATCGGAATCCTAGAGAAATATTTAGAATCGACACACTAAAGAAAATTATTAAACAAAAAGTAACTTAGTTTTTTACTTTATTTTCAAAATAGAACTCATTTACGCCTTCAAACGTAATATTTGGATAAAAATGGGCTATATTATTCAGGTTGAATCCACGTTTCTATTGATGTATCAGTGACGTCATATACCTGCTAAGACTGCGTCACAATCAGTTACAAGACTTCCAGAAAAGTTTGTATATTCTTTGCGTAAATGTGCAAAGAAAAATAATTAAAAATTTTAATAAGTAACTTCTCCTTTTTTGTTCAATCACTCTACACAGAGCATTATCCAGAATGTTAAATAATGTTTTTATATCTTCTTATACATGTTTTTAATACTAGGATATGCGCAAAACTAGTTTTTTTTATTTGTTTATACCGAACATTTCTTACGTAATTGGGATGTGATGAAGTTTTTTTCTGATTATCAAGGAATCGTCAATATTTTAGATTTAGCAAAATTAATTTAACGAAGTTGAGATGTTTACTTCATGATACATGTTTTTTGTAAAATCTTTAATATATTTATCTTTGCAGTCAAATAAAAATAAACAAGCAGCGGTCCCATTAAAAATATGAAAAAAAAACCCTGAAAAATAAGTAACAATAATATTTATTACGCAAGATTACTGCTGGTTCTGTAAACGTTTCTGTTTTTTTTTTTCTTTTTTAATTTTTTTTTAATAATTTGGAGATCGAAATAATTACATACTCACTTTTAATATGGAGTTAAAATATGTGGCTATGTTGGCTTATTCTAAAATGTTTTTTATATTCATGAAACCAGCTTTTTGAAAAAAATGATGCCATGATCCCCCCTTACACCCCCCTCCCCCCTGCTTTTTGCTTGCGATTTATGGGCTTTTAAATAATGATGCATATGAAAGAACTTTTTTTATTTACATAAAATAAAATTTGGTAAAAGAGGAATACATATAGGGGAAAGGATTAACAGATGACGGGTTGAAAAAACTTGGATAAGCAAGAGACTATACACATAAAAATATTTTCTGTATTTACACTGTAGGTACGTGCGCCACTAACAGAATTTAACTCCTTATTAATTCCTCAGAAAACATTAATGAAAGAAAAAAATTACTTAGAAATAAAGATATTTAACAAAGCTAAGCTGTCTTCTCTCAGTTGCTGCATAATGCATGTACAAACACTAATGTCTTTTTTAAATACCGAGTATCAAGAAATCAAAGATGTTTTAACTGCACACTGTAATCACGGGCACTGGAAGTTAATGTAAATATATAGTATGTGTATGTATAAAAAAAGAAGGGTAGGACACTCTTTTTGAGGCAAATTTGGGTTTGGAGTATTGTGGGCCTTTCTCGGAAGACTTGACGCGATTATTCGTTCACATATAACTTACTTCAAATATATGTACCGTTTCGTTCCGCTCCAATGCCGTCCCTTCGAAGGAAAAGATGTTTTTATACCTCCAAGTGGCTAAGAATTTCGCTAGACTGTCTTACTTCCGGTTTATCCAAACTGAATAAAAAGGTAAGTTCTGATTGGTCAATGTCTTACAGATACACAACGTAACTTTTTTATACTATACTTATATTCATTATTACTCGTAGAAATTAATTGT